AAATATAATGGAGAAAAATTACTCTTGAATTCATTACGTTTTTCCGGGAGAACTATAACGTGATAATTTCCTAAAATTGTACCGAAAAATTCAGTAAAAAATTGTCAACAAAGTGCCAACTTAGCGATAGAAATTGATAAAGTTTGTGATCAAGTATATCGACAGGAAAATATATAACTAAATACTTTAACACACAGAGCCGGTAAATTAGTCGATCTTATTACCAAAGCAAACACACTTGGCCCGGGGACTCCATCTGTATTTGAACATAGCCCTGTTTATATGGTAGACGCGCGAAATCCGTATATTTACGCAAGCGAGCCAGCGGAGATTTTCCATTGGGCCAGTATTTCTTGGGTTGGGTGGCAGGATAAATACACCAATTGATACATAGAAAGTTGTGTGTACATGAAATTCGATAAGCCAGGTTGCAGAGGGAGAACTTCACTTTCGCTCAAAGTTCCATTGGGAAGTCACTGCCAGAAAATTCATCCAGACGGGGAAAAAAAATGTGCGAGTCATAAATTTAGTTTTTTGTAATGATTTCTCTCGATGTTGTATTATGGATATGGGAGGGACGGATATTCATAAGTGATGTTATAATGTCGGAGGGAAACATACGTCTCATGCAAACGCGTGAAGTGTCAAGAGCAGATATTCGAAGTGATCACGGAAAAAAAACTAAACTTGTTTCAAGTATATTTTATACTCAATGCAGGATCTTTTTTTTTAATTTCACATTTTTCATTAAAAAAAATTGAATGAAAACGTTTCCGTGATTAATTCACGTTCGTTCTTCCCTTCAACTTCTTCACTTCTGTCAATAATTTATAACTGAAGATGAAAAATTATTTGAGGCATAAAATTCGAAAAAATGCTATTAGTTCTCCGTGATAAAAATAGCTAGTGTAATACTACCAGAATCGTGTCTAGGTTTCTGTAACTGGTCGGTAAATAGAGTGCAGAGACATCTGCTCAGAGTCCACTGGTAAACACCAGCAATCACCACTGGACTGTACCTTCGAGAGGAACGTCGGTAATGCAGGGGCTAGGTTGCCGCGGGTACAACTGACAGGGGTGTCCAACATTCCGGGGGTTCCCCCCGTACCCCCAGGATTCCACACACACGAGGGGTGACATGCCGTGGGGACATGACACTCAGGCTGAAAAATTAATTCCGTAAAAATGGTTCTCAACCGGCGAATGCTTCGAGCGAAAATTAATTGACGGAATTCACTGTAAAAATTAGTATTTTCAAGACGTCTTAAGGTGTATCTTGAGACAATACCACCCAAAAGTTAGTCCCTATGGGTTTCCGGAAAAATTCTGAATGATTTAATTTGTTGCATGCTCATAAGTTGCTGAATTTTTCTATCCTCATATAATGTTGATTATGACGATCGCAGTAACTGTTTATATCAAATAAAAAATTATTTTTTATAAATTTACAGTTTTTAGAGTTCAACATCGCAGAAACGCACTATAAAATTTCACAAAAAAACAGTTTCAAATATTTAATTACAAACAACAAATGTTTAAAGAGATAATAAATTTTAAAAAAGATTTTCACGCAATTTAGTTGAAAAATTTAATTTCGTAATTGAAAATGAAATATAATATAAGCGATGCTAATGAAAAGTGACCAAAAATGTCTTACTTTTATCCATTAGTTTCTCAGTTTTGTTGAATGAAGCGAATTGCGGGAGCAACTCGAGTCCATCACGAGTGCCTTTCATGCATTCGTCGTTAGAGAGACCTTAAACTACATCTCACCGCAGACGTTTTGCATGGAAAACTTATCCCGGGGCGTTTGTGCATATCCATAGGACTCACTGGTACGAATTAATTTGGCAAATTGATCGTTCTTCCATCCAGTCCGATAATTTTCGTGTCTGAGGGTTGGGCACGTAGTCTCACCGAGGTGTTGCAAACCCATCCACCTGCACCCCAATGGCTTACCTGATGTTGGATCTTCCAACTATGTTCTTAACCGGCGCACTATATCCGTAGGCATTGCCCAAGACCTGGATGGTACTCGTAATTGAATTAGTAGAGTCAGGATATTGCGTACCGCTGTGAGCGCACAATTGTTTTAAGTCGACATCTCCGGTACGTGGGAGGAAGCCCGGACATTGAATTTGTAGTAAACTATTGGGCCGAGGGTATCGAGTTATTCCAGGGTGGATAGATGTGGATGGATGATTTTATGTGGGTGATAACGTTGGGTTACGTTGAAAATTCGGATTTTCAGGGGGCGTTTCTCATTCTGAGAGCGGAAATTATAAATCGCAATTGATGGTATGGTAAAGGCTTTTTTTGTTTGCTTTTTGTTTTTTTTTCAAATTCTCAATATCGTTTTTGGAAATTTTTGTCGAGTTGTAGTTCCACTGAAATTTCAAGGAATTTCGTAATTGAAATTCTTAATTTTAGGAAAGAATCAATGAAAAATGTAAATTTCAACTCAATTATTCCACGAAAATTAATAAAAATAACAGAAAATTCATGAGAATTTGGAATTTCATTGAATTTATCCCCTAAATATAATATTTTCAACATGTTCTCGTCAAGTTCTTCATTTAAACAAATTAATGTTCTTTAAATGAATGAATGAATGAATGAATGAATTATTGGAATAAAATGCGTCAGATTTTTCCCACTTGAAAAATGATTTTCCCATGAAATTGATGATGAGCTTGAGTGTGAGGTGATAAGGATCAACCCTTAATTTTCCCTAATGAGCAAAGTTTTTCGGTGTCCGAGGCAGTGTGTGCCATCATAAATTCAAAATGGCGGATTCCTTTGGGTCTGAAAACAAAAGGGACTCGGGTCTCTCCTAGTGTGCAGTAGACAGGGAACGAAACGATGAAGGGATGAATGAGGCGGGCAGTAGTATGCAACCCTTCCGAAATACCGTGAGGGTGGTGAAATAGAAGGAGCGTGAATGGCGGTCGAGGTACGAGTCAACGAAAATGGCGGACCCAATTAAGGCTGTCTCTGTTGTACCAGTGGCAATTTGAAATTTCAATTAAATAAAATCGATGGAGATTCGGGAGGATGACGTGTACCCCTAGGTCAGTCTTGTTTTATATCCTATTTTCGATTATTTCGGATGTACATTTCTTTTTATCATAGCTTATCACACAAATTTTAAAGAACAATGTCAAAAAAATACTCAAGCATTTGCAGAAATGATAAAATTATATGAATTATAAAATATGTTCATACAAAATTTTTGTGAATAATTACAAGACGGCAATCATACAATTTTTTTTTCTTAATTTTTATAAAGAAAATTAGTTGGAAATTTTGTTTGTATTTTTTTTATTAATTCAAAACTTGTAGAGAATGGTGAGCTATGAGATCGTTCAGTGAGAGATATTTAAATATATCTGGGGTAAAATTAGTCAAACCTATTAAGAGACTCATCGGCGGTCGTGTCTTGCGCCAAGTTCGCGCATATAGTTAATCTAAGATTTATATACCCCTGAACACCAGATTGATGTATATCTGCATTATTTTCCTCAAGTCGGGGCCAAAAAAACTACAAAAAAAAATTCAACTCTATTTTAAGCCTCGCGTCATAATCATTCAATTAATTGAATCCATGAAATTGAAAATTGAAAAAAGAGATTAAATTTCTGTTCTGCACAAGTGACAAACAGGATTTCAGGTGCAGAAGGGGAGTCACCCCGGAGATGATGGAGACGACAGGCGGTCCAGAACCTGAAAAACGAGATGAGCTTGACCCGCAGCCTCACCTGAAGAATCCAACCGGGATGGCACGTCAGGTGAACCAATGTTCCCTCTCCATCCGAAATAATACATCACGACAAAGAGTGTCAAGGGCACTTGTACCGTCTGAACCTTTGATTTCGATTTATTCGATCATCGATCCGTGACAAATTTTCACGTGCCCCGCGAAATGCATATATAGCAGAATAGACAAAAGAGTCGGACTCACGCACGAGCGCTTATCGTCTCGCGTCAAGGTATCACTGAGAATCGGGAGGGAAAGAAGAAATAGACAAAAGAAAGGAGAGCATGAATGCGGAATGTCAGACGTTAGGAAGGCGGCAGGCGACAGCGGCTCGACCCTCTTCTCCGAATATTAACCGTCGATTTTTTCTTCAAGTTTACGTCAATTTGGCGTTCGATTTCATATTATGATGTCTTGTATATTTGCAGAAGTAATAATGGCTGTAGGGGAGGGGGATGGATGCGAATGGGGGGGAATGAGGTGAGGGGGGTGGTTGCGCGAGAGCTGGGTAGCTTGGCGACACTCAACTCTGCTCGAACTGTACAAGGGTCCATCTCGTAGCAACGCCCACGGGAACACGAATCGATAGCGACGCATTACTCTGGAAACCATGAATTTTCATCCATTTTTCAAAATTCTATGTGTCGTGGGATGACCACATAATTACCCACAGGTGGAACTCAATATTTTGTATTATCTAAAGTTTATTTAAAGTAAATGAGACGGTTCATTCAAATGAATAAATTTAATTATTATTTTTTTTATTCAAATCAAAATTGCATAAAATTTAAAAAATGTTGTTTACATGAATATATGAGTTTGTTACAAATAAATTTTAAGAAATCAAATGATAAGTTTTATTTTGAAATAAGCGAAGATTTCATTAATTAGAAATGCTGTAATTATTCAGAATTAATGAGAATTAATTATTTATTGAATAAAATCCAAATATTACATGGCAATTAATGCATGAGAGCATTAATTTCCAACAAAAGTTAATAATTAATAATCTCATGCATTTATTGCATTACGCAAAGAATAAAAAAATTATGAAATGAAATTACAAAATTAATTTTGAAAAAATGCATCATTTCTCAGTCTTACATATTCTTATTTATTTTTAAAAATATTGAGAAAAATTAGTTATTGATCAAAAGAAATTGTGGAGTTCACTGGGATGCATAGTACATAGAAATGTTAACAAAATAAAATGCAAAATAATAAATATCATCCGTCATTTCAGATTGATTACCACTGAGCCAACGAATTTGTCTACATGGGCTATTGTGGTCAGTCGGCTGGCGTTGTAATACTCGTTGATCCAGTTCACTAGCCGGTTTTCACCGTGAACTCTGCCCCAGAAACTGCCTGGGGCCTGTCAACACACAAGGCGCGAGTCGCTACCGAAAATGATAAATGCCCCTCAAACCCAGAAATGACACTGCAGCGTCAACAAAATTACGCTCAAGTGAGATTAGATCTAGTAGTTCAGTTGAGCTAGTCACTGCATTCACTCCCCTGAATCTTCATCGTGAAAATTTACTGGAGTTCGAAGATGTAGATCACCTCCATTTTCATAATCCCGTCACTCTTATTCTCAGGTTCTGCGGAGAACGACGGAGGAGCATTTGACGTTAACTCAGCGCGACCAACTTTTTCGAAAAAAAAAACCTGTTGCAAGTGGGGTGGAATAAATAAGCCAGCACCACCAAAAAGTGAAGAATGGAGGAGAAAAAAGAAGAATCAAACAGCCCTTTTTCTTATGCAGGACTGAAATAAACGAGTATACAACTTGTTGTACCATTTATCCTCCTTTTCCTCAGTGTCCTAGTGTGTGCCATTCTGTTTTACTCGTGCTGAATTTTATTGAAAAGTTTATGAGGCGAGAGGGATTCTGAATTCAGTCATATTATGTGTGATAAACGCAGAGGAAACTTTCCTCAATTCTTCGATCATTTCCGGGTGTTAATTCGGAATTCAAGAGGATATTTTGGTTTCGTTTTTCATCAATTCACTAATTGAACTATTATTTTTTTTAAGTGATTGCAGGAGGTATGGGGACAGAACGGGTTGGCTTTCTAGCATTTAGAAATTCGTGGTAAATCGATAAATTCCGAATGCGGTGAACTTTTCGAGAAAATTTTATAGTACATTTTTTACAAAAATTTGAAAAAAATCATGAATATTTAGAGTCACTCAAATTACATCTTGCACAGGATTATTATTTTTTTTAACTTAAAATCGATTTCTGGTAAAATTCTGAAGAATAATAAATTTGTTACAATTTGTTAAATTTGTTTGTGGAAAATCGATTGTTTATAAATTATTTATAAAAATGCTCGTAATTTTCAAAAACTGCAATTTTTTAATTATCAAAGGGATCGAGGTTTAAATATACTAATCTAAATTAAAAAATAGCAAAATAATTGATAATCCAAATTTCCAATTGACGATAAATTAAATATTTAATAATATGGAACTATAAATTTTCTGTCAAGTAAATAATACTAAATTTAAATTGATGATTACTTGAATAACGGAAATTTAAGAGTTATATTAATCAATTGACTACTCAATAATTTAACGGTAAATTACAATTTTTGGATATGGCTATCCCTGATGTAAATTCAGACCCCTAAAGTTTAAATAATAAAATAATTGACTATATGGAATCGTCAACTGACGATTCCCTAAATAATTCTAAACTTCATAAAAGGATTTTCGATTATCCAAATACTCATCAGCCTTCCGCGATCTCAATTATTGATCGCCAAACTACTTCGGACCTTGAATATTTAATCAACAATTAATTAATTAAAAAATCCCTGAGCATCATCAACCACTCAACTAATAAAAAATTCACTTCACCTTAAAACAGCCGAAACCCCCTCGTTATTCACATGACAAGAAACCCCATTCCCCAAATAGCCCTGAAAACCGGGTTCTCAGTTGTTACCACAGAAATTCTTGGCTTCAGATTACAATTTCGTAGGTCCAAAGGGTAGAGTTAAAATGGCCGCCAGGCAGAGCGGGTACTTTTACTCGACATGCAGTTCTCTGTGTGCGAGGGTGGCCAAAGGGGTTAAAGCGAAGAGTAGCGAGAAAGAGAGGGAGGCATCATCAGGCGAAGCGAGTTTGAATCAGTGCGCGTGAAACAGAGAGATGATGGCTTGGTCGCTCGTGGCCGGGATGGGGTGGGAGGCCGAGGGGATTGAAGAGCGGGAGAGTATCGCCGGATGGAAGGACTGGGGAGGGAGGAGAGACGTGCTAGCCACAACCCCTTAAGGGTTGAAGGCACCCTCGCGCCACTACATCGGAGTCCGAAGCGCGTGGTCTTCGTTATTCTGTCCCTCTCCATCTCCCCTTTCGCTGGTAGTTTGAGCTCGTCTCACTCACTNAAAAAATTCACTTCACCTTAAAACAGCCGAAACCCCCTCGTTATTCACATGACAAGAAACCCCATTCCCCAAATAGCCCTGAAAACCGGGTTCTCAGTTGTTACCACAGAAATTCTTGGCTTCAGATTACAATTTCGTAGGTCCAAAGGGTAGAGTTAAAATGGCCGCCAGGCAGAGCGGGTACTTTTACTCGACATGCAGTTCTCTGTGTGCGAGGGTGGCCAAAGGGGTTAAAGCGAAGAGTAGCGAGAAAGAGAGGGAGGCATCATCAGGCGAAGCGAGTTTGAATCAGTGCGCGTGAAACAGAGAGATGATGGCTTGGTCGCTCGTGGCCGGGATGGGGTGGGAGGCCGAGGGGATTGAAGAGCGGGAGAGTATCGCCGGATGGAAGGACTGGGGAGGGAGGAGAGACGTGCTAGCCACAACCCCTTAAGGGTTGAAGGCACCCTCGCGCCACTACATCGGAGTCCGAAGCGCGTGGTCTTCGTTATTCTGTCCCTCTCCATCTCCCCTTTGGCTGGTAGTTTGAGCTCGTCTCACTCACTTCCTCCCTCGACTTTGACTCTCTTCATCCATTGAATAGGTATATATGTTGGCGGGGAGGGGAGGGGGAGGGGGAGTGGGAGGGGGCACCCTTTAGCCGGGTCTCGCTTCTACTGTCGCTGAACAACCTTTATATCTAGAGCTACTGTACCCACCGACCACCGACCATACCTACACCGAGGGGAAGAGCACCTTGGTTACTCGCGAGTTCGAGGGACAGACGTGAAGAGCTAGCCGGCATGTAAGATGGCTGGGGCACTCTATGTACTTGTATACCACCATCCTATGTACAAATATATTTCTGTATAGACGGTTTGCAAAGTATTGGGGGTGACGAGGGCTGGAGGGCGGGGAGGGATGATGCGGTAAGAGAAACTAACAAAGATGGAATTGCCCATGAAAAGAGATAATGCGGAGGGGGAGGGGGACGCACGAGGAAAATATATGTCTGGGTGGGAGGAGTTGCTGGATTACTTTTGGCTGGAATGCAGTGGGGAAAATTTGAGTTTTTCAGTGCAGTCGACATTTTGTAATTTTAGGTAATGCGAAATTTTGATGAGAAAATCAGGGGAATTAATTTCGAGTTAGTTATTCAATGACAGTAGTGCAGAGTGGTTATCAATAATAATTGAAATTATTTAAATTTTTGGAAACTCCATTTTTTTAGGCATAAAATCGGCATCTGCATAAATTGCAAAAATACTCGTAATTTTTAAAAATTCCAAATTCAAAATTATTTCAACAATTTTTTCCCAAAGGGTAAACTCTCTATTTTTTTCTGATTCTTAAAATGTTTTCTAACGGTTCAATATCGAGATTAAAATTCAGATCCGTAAAATTTAAATAATAAAATCGTTGTTAAATCTCCGGAAAGCTCTGATGTTCGACTACAAGATTAGAAAATCATTTCACTGGAGAAAAAATAGCCAAAGTACTCGGATATCCTTAATTCGATTTACGAGTAAAAAAAATCCTGAAATTTTACATGCGGAATCAGTGGAAACTGCAGAGACGAATAAATTTACTTGAAAAAGCAATTAATCTCTACTAAAAGACGGGTAATTTTCACCAAATTCTTCTCTCCGTACTTTAAAATACACATCCTTGTGCGAACATCCGTGAATTAGAGACCAGTGTTCCTCGAGTATTTGCCGCCCCCTGGAAGACTCTGGAGCGCTATTTGCCTGTGAATAGACATGTTCGCATGTTGTATATTCGTGAAACAACAGTATAACGGAAAGAGAATGCAGCCCGCAAAACACATCATTCCCGTGGATCCTCTTAAAGGTGGACCGAGTGGAATTTTTACGCGCACTTCAACCCCTTGCACGTGAGCCCGAGAATTCTGCATGTTGTGAGAGTATCTGATGAGACTGCTGAGGTTAATGGGCGGGGTGAATTCCGACGGGAGAGAATTTTTGGGGGAATTCTGGTGAAATTATTTCATTTGTCTCTGCATACTACATTTTGCAAAAAAATATTTTTTTTCAACATTTCGTTTTCATAATTGAAGATAATTATTCTGACTGAAATTATTTTTTTAGACATGAAATGGATTTCTGGTAAAATTTTGAATGTAAATAAATGATTGGAAATTTGGAATTGACTGGAACATCGCAACATGACAATTAGACAAACGCTTTTTTTATTTTCGAAACGTTGTGCTTTTAGAACCAACATTTATCCCCAATCCTCCTTCGAAATTTTTAATTCATTATTTCCCGCATTATCTTTATATTTCCATCAACCGCAAAATTACCAATTCCATTAGATATCATGTCCACCCCATTCCTTGATATCCCACCGAATTCAATTATCCCCAGAAATATCTCGCACTTTATGCAATCGCGTCATGTATACACCCCCATTCGTGTGTCACGTAAAGACGTTCTGTATATAGTTGCAGCGTTACATACCCCAGTAAATGCAGCACGTAAATATTGGTAAAGTCTACATAGATATAGAAGCAGCATGTTTTCATCAGGTGGATCAGGCAGCCCAGTAACATCTCCGATAAACGTTTCATATTATCCCCGGCGAAGATAAATATAGACAAGTTGGTCAAGCCATTCCTCCCTCATTATTCCCATAATTTTTTTATCATCAACTGAAAAATAGTCAGGCTCCGTCGCTGCCTGGAGTTTAAAACTTCGCAGACTTTCAAGGTTCCTCAATTTGAAATCATATCCTTGAAAAGTTTTCTGGAATGTGCTTTTTCCGTATTATACTTTTTATCCCCGGAGCAAGATGAAGCGGTGGAAAAGTTGAGGGTGAAAGGAGAGTCGAGGTGAGAAAGAAACATTTCAAGGTGAATAAACCATAATTGAGGTGCACGACTTT